CCCATGAGCGAGGGGCCCTCAGAGGAGGGACGGCCACAGCAGCGGTGGGGCAGGGCCCGTGGGAGGGCCCACGTGTCCTCGCAGCTGCCTGACTCAGATTCCAGGCCCTTCTGCCAGCTGCTCCCCCAGTGCCTCTGCTCACCATCCCGGGGCCTGTGCAGCCGCCCGGGGGCAGCCATCCCGGTCCCAGCACTGCCTTGGGAGGCGGATGCAGCAAGAAAGCAACAAAACAGAGGCCCCCCTGAGGAGCCACAGGCGGGGTCCCTACCACAGCCACCTCCCAGATCCCAGAAATGACACTCTTTCAGGAGGCTCACAGCAGGACAGGTCGAGGGCGTCCTCTGGCCGGGACCAGGAGGGGCAAGAGAACTAGCCCTCAGTCTCACTGCACACGTGGCCCTGGCATTGTCGCCCCGTTTTACAGATGGAAAGTTGAGGCCCAGGTGAGCAACTGCCCACCTGGAGCAGGGCCCATTCCACGACCTGTCTCAAATGCCTGCTCTGCGCCAGGCCCCGCTCCAGGCCCCTGTGACTCTGCTGTGAGCATGTGGACAGGGGCCCTGGCCCTGGAGTTGCACCCAGCTTCAGACGCCCTGCCCTGTGAGAAGGAAGAAGCCACCGGAGGGAGGCCTGGCTTCTGGGCAGAAAGGAGGAGCGGCCTGGCATAGGGAGCCCCTTCCCGGGGCCAGGGCCAGGGCCAAGGGACAGAGCAGCTGCAGCCAAGGGCAGCAGACCCTGCGGCACTGGGCGCCGGGGCTGGGGTGGACAGGAAATGCTGGTCAGGGAGCTGGGCCTGCAGTGGGCTCCTGGTGGGCACAGGGTGGGCCTGGTCCTTCTCTCCCAGCTACACTGGGTATGGTGGCAATGGAACGAGGCCGCATGACCCGGGATGGCCCCACAGGTTGGCTGGATGGGCAGTGGGTACATGTGGAGGGTGGGCACCTGGACCACAGACCGAGGCCGGGCAGGAAGGCCCAGATGAGAGCAAGAGGCAGACGACCAGGCCCACTCGGTTGCCCGGCTTTTCCTCCAGGAGATCAGGGCCACACAGTGGGTGCAACAGGGGCCCTGGAGCGGGTGGCCATGATCAGCCCGAGCGCGTGTGCCCGTGTGTGTGTGTGTGTGAGTGTGAGTGTGCGAGTACTCTGCCCTCTGAAGGAGCTGCCTTCACACCCTGGGTGTTAAGTGGTACTAACTGCTTTCACCCAGGAGATTGGCGCGAGCGAGCCCCGTGCAAACACATGGAGTTTAGGAAGCCGGAGTCCGGCTAGGCTGCAGGGCCGTCACCGTGGCTGTGCTGAGGAGGCAGGTGATCCCCCACCCCGGCCCCCAGATCACAGTCAGGGCACAGGTGTCCTGTCCTGCCTTGCTGACGAGGAGCCCCCAGCACATCTGGGCAGCCAGACTGCACTAAGGGGCCCCCAGAGGCGGGTGTGAGCCTGTGGGGAAGGACTCAGTCACACAGCAGCCCTGCTGGAGGGAGGGAGCTGTCTAGGGGCTGGACAGTGAGGTCGGAGAGGCCCAAGGCTCCATTTGGGGTGGAGGTGGAATGGGGGCGGGCTTCCCTGAGGCTGTGGATTTGGGAGGAGACCCCACCCTGAAATAGGCATGTTAGCTTCATATGATCAGAAAGAACCTGGAGTCTGGGAGCCTGGAGCCCTACGGGCAGAAGGTCAGAATCCCAGAGGGCCTTGAACAGGGTTGGGGGGGCTGCCTGGATCCTAGTGCTGGGCGGCCGTCCCTGTGGTCACCCTGGCCTGCCCTCCCTCTGCCACAGATCCCTCTCCTTCTAAGGCAGGCGAGGCCTCAGAAGTTGTCAGGCCCGAGGAGCAGCAGACTGGCTTGGCTCTGGGGGATGCGGAGGTCCCCAGGCTGGCCCGCCCTCCCTCCTTCCCTCCCTGCACAGGCCCAGCTCTCTGCTCCACCTGCCCCTCCCCAACCTGCAGCCTTGAGCCACTCTGGGTGAGGCAGGGGGTGCTGGTGGCCTGCTCTGAGCCTTCACCCCTGCCTGTGGGGGAAAAGGGGTTCAGAGGAGCAGGAGGGCAGCTGGCCGGCCTCTTTTCTGGAGGCGGAAGAATAGAGCCCAAGGCTCCAGTGCGGGGGTTTGCTGAGGGCTTCTGGGGCGATAATTGGGCGGCGATTAAGTGTTCTGAGCAGCGCTGTCGCCTGTCACCTGTCACTGCGGCTCTGTGAGCACAGCCTCTGTGCAGGTCCTGCCTGGCTCTGCACACCCGCCCTTCCAGTGGACTCTGCTCTCTCACGCCCACACGGGGCTCGCTGGCCGTGGGAGGGGGCACCAAGGGTCCGGGTCCAGCCCAGCCCTGCCCGCTGAGCCCCATACAGATCCCCTCTCGCCCGGCTCCCCCCGTGGATGGTGTGTTACCCCCACCTCCGACCTCCTGCCTCTGCTCACCCTCCCCCAGCCCCTCTTGCTCGCACTGCTTCTCTCAGCCTGGTCCACCCTCCCCCACTCTCTGGGCCCTGGCTGGGCTCCCCTCGCTCCAGGAAGCCCTGCCAGACGGCTGCTGCCTTGGGTGGGGTGGAGTGAGAGCTGAAGACCACTGTGGGCCTGAGGCCCAGAGAGCCATGTCCTGGCCTGGGCCACCCAGCTGGTCAGGGACCAGGGCCTGAGTGCTGCCCTTGGGGGACACGTGGACTTTGTAAACGGTTGAGGGGGTGGCCCCTGGTCACTCAAGTACTGGCTTTGGCACTCCCACTGCACATGGGCCTGCACACACACACACACACACATACATACACACATACGTGTTGTGTGAGTGTGGCCCCTGCCCAGCTGGCTCATCGCACACCTTCTCTGACAACGGCCCTCAGACACAGGCCTGAGCTCACCCCAGACACGGACAGAGGCCGTGGCTAGAGGCAGGCCCTGCGGTGACCGGCCACACTCACCGCCCGCTGCACAGACATCTCACACCCAGGCACGCAGGCCTGCAGCCTCCTCCTGCTCCGGGAAATGCCCTGGCTGGTAGCTCTGGGATTCCTGTTCTTGCAGCTTGTCTGCCTGGCTCCCCCTCCCCGCTCTGTGCTGCCCTCCACCCTCCTTTCTCTGCCCACCCACTCGCCTTTAATTAGAAATGCCAGGAGAGCCATTTTTGGGGAGTTTTTGCCAGAAAGACATTCCCCCCCACTATGGGTGGAAGCTCCAAGGGGGAGGAGGAGGCAGATTGGCTCTGGGTGGGGGGAGCTCCCAGGAGACCAGCGGGAAGGGGCCTGGGGTGTAAGGAGTGGGGATTCCAGAGAGTGTGGGCACTCGTGTGCCCTCAGTGTGCGAATAAGACAAGTGGAACTGTGGGGCTGTGTGTGTGGGGATGGGCATGGATGGGGGGATGAGTGTGTGTGTGGGAGGATGAGTGTGTACGGGGGGATGAGTGTGTATATGGGGGATGGATGCAGGTGGGGGATGGATGGAGAGGATGAGTATGTATGTGGGGGGATGGGGCATGGATGGGGGGATGAGTGTATGTGTGGGGGGGATGAGTGTGTGTGTGGGGGGGATGAGTGTGTGTGGGGGGGGATGAGTGTGTGTGTGGGGGGGATGAGTGTGTGTGTGGGGGGGATGAGTGTGTGTGTGGGGGGATGGATGTGGGGGAGGCCGGAGTGGGGGACTGTGAGTGTGCATGCAGTTGAGAGAGGGAGAAGGGAATGGGCAGCACAGGGGCTGAGGTGTCTGGACTGACACTGGTTGTGTGTCTGCACCTCTGGCTGTGGGCAGTGGCATGTGTCACCTGTGCCCAGGTAACATCAGAGGACCTGGGACCCATACCCATCCATCAGGAGCTAACGCAGGAAGGACATCCCTCCCCCACCACTGTTGCCAGGGAGGCGGAAGGGGCCTCCCTCCCGAGGGAATTTCAGCTTCCGGAGCCCCGCTCCTTATATGGCGGTTTGCTTTTCTCTGCTTCTCCTGACTGCAGAGGGCTGCCAGCACCCTTCCTCCTCCCGCCTCCCGCCTCCCCCTCCCTCCTCCTCTCTCCCTCTTCCATCCTCTTAGAAGTCTTGGAGCTTCTGACCAGGCTCCCTTGGGCCTGGGGGCTCAGGGCCCAGCGGCTGCAGGCCGCTGCATCTCCTCCACACCTCCCACCCCAGGAAGCAGCTTCCAGATTTCCCTGGGGGCGCTAAGTGGAGAAGTCTTGGGCCTCATCAAATACCTGGAGTGGGGGCACGGGGCCGTCCTGCCTGGCCATGGGCACAGGGATGTGACATACACATTCACACCAACACCAGGGGCCTGGCAGAGCAAGGCCTGGGCACACTTCCCGCATACACGGCTCTGCTCGGCTCAGAGGACCAGCCCAGGGCTGGACGCAGGGGCCGTGGGGCAAGGGTAGGCAGGAGGTTGAAGACACACTGGGAACTCACACCTGACAGGGAGTGTGTGTGTGTGCGAGGTGCGTGTGTGTGCCTGTGTCGGTGCCCACGAAGACTCCTTGAAGCCTTCACCTCAGGGAAGGACGGTCTGAATGTCAGCGTCCTTGTCAGGGCTCATCTGTGGCTGAACATCCTGCAAAGTCAGACTGGGCAGGGTCAGGATGGGGGCAGTGGGACCCAGGAGAGCAGAGTCCCCAGTAAAGAGAGAGAGTGAGAGAAGGAGGCAGCCTGAGACCCCAGGGAAGAGGCTTCCTCTTTACCCTTGAGTGGGGGCTGTAACAACCTGCCTCAGGCCCCTCCAGGCACACGTCTGCGCCCCTGCCCAGCGCTGGCGTGGGGGTGGTCGCTTGACCCCAGCACTGTCCCTCCGTCCCGCAGGCTGAACGAGGCTGGGGAGGGGGGCGGTGCGAGAGAGCGCATGAGTCAGCCCGGGCCAGCCGTGTGTGCAGGGGTGGGTCCTCCCTCTGCGCGAGGAGCGCGAGTGGGCGCAGGAGGCGGGGCCGCAGGGTGGGGGCGGGCGGGGAGCCTGCGCCGGGCCAATGGGAGCCGGGGCTCGGCGAGGGGGCCGCCCACGGGCCGCGCTGGCAGCATAAAGAGCCGGCGGCCGCGGCTGGGCGCAGAGCTCCGGCGCGTCTCCTCCCGCACCGCCGCAGCTGTCGCACCGGGACGCAGCCGGGACCCAGCCGGACCGAGCGCGCTCCGCAGGACTCAGCGCCACAGGCATCTCCGCACAGCCGGCCGCCAGCAACCCCTCCTCAGCCCCAAGACGACTTTGCAGCCCTCTGCCTCCCGCCTGTCCGAGCGTCGCGGCCACCTGCGCGCAGATGGAGCTGGACCACATGACGAGCGGCGGCCTCCACGCCTACCCCGGGCCGCGGGGCGGGCCGGTGGCCAAGCCCAACGTGATCTTGCAGATCGGTAAGTGCCGGACCGAGATGCTGGAGCACGTGCGGAGGACCCACCGGCACCTGCTGGCTGAGGTGTCCAAGCAGGTGGAACGTGAGTTGAAGGGGCTGCACAGGTCGGTGGGCAAGCTGGAGAGCAACCTGGATGGCTACGTGCCCACCGGCGACTCGCAGCGCTGGAAAAAGTCTATCAAGGCGTGCCTCTGCCGCTGCCAGGAGACCATCGCCAACCTGGAGCGCTGGGTCAAGCGCGAGATGCACGTGTGGCGGGAGATCTTCTACCGGCTGGAGAGGTGGGCGGACCGCCTGGAGGCCATGGGCAGCAAGTACCAGGTGGGCAGCGAGCCAGCCCGCCAGACCGTCTCGGTGGGCGTGGGGGGTCCTGAGAACTACTGCCAGGACGCCGATGCCTACGACTACACAGTCAGCCCCTACGCCATCACCTCGCCGCCCGCCGCTGGCGAGCTGCCTGGGCAGGAGCCGGTGGAGGCCCAGCAGTACCCGCCCTGGGGGCCAGGCGAGGACGGGCAGCTGAGCCCCGGCGTGGACACGCAGATCTTCGAGGACCCCAGGGAGTTCCTCAGCCACCTGGAGGAGTACCTGCGACAGGTGGGCGGCTCCGAGGAGTACTGGCTGTCACAAATTCAGAACCACATGAACGGGCCGGCCAAGAAGTGGTGGGAGTTCAAGCAGGGCTCGGTGAAGAACTGGGTGGAGTTCAAGAAGGAGTTCCTTCAGTACAGCGAGGGCACGCTGTCCCGTGAGGCCATCCAGCGCGAGCTGGACCTGCCGCAGAAGCAGGGGGAGCCGCTGGACCAGTTCCTGTGGCGCAAGCGCGACCTGTACCAGACGCTGTACGTGGATGCCGATGAGGAGGAGATCATCCAGTACGTGGTGGGCACCCTGCAGCCCAAGCTCAAGCGCTTCCTGCGCCACCCGCTGCCCAAGACCCTCGAGCAGCTCATCCAGAGGGGCATGGAGGTGCAGGATGGCCTGGAGCAGGCGGCTGAGCCAGCCGGGCCCCGCCTCCCCACCGAGGACGAGGGTGAGGCAGAGTCCGTCACGCCGGCCCTCACCAACGAGTCCGTAGCCAGTGACCGGACCCAGCCCGAATAGAGGGCAGTCAGGGCCCCCACCTGCCCACCACACCGCGCCTGTGGCCTTTGCAAACCAGGACTTTCGAGCTGGGCTGACTCCTGCAGGGGGGGCCCTCATCCTCATCCAGCCGGGCCCCCACCTCAGCCTCCCAGCCTGACTCACACAGGCACACGTCATCCAGATGTGGACAGCACCCCCCAAACAGCAAAGGAGCCCTTCTCCCCTGTAGGGCCCCTGCCCCATCACCCTCCCTCCGTCTGTCTTCCCCACCCCTGTACCTGCCTGGGCCAGTGACCCTCCTCCACCGCACCCCCCTCCCCCCAGCCATGGCAGGCCATCTCAGCTTCCTTATTCTGCTCAAAACCCGGGCTCTCTGGGTACTCAGAAACCAAATGTCCAGATGGCACGGACCGGCAGGCACCGACCTCAAAAAACACCCCAGAGCAAAAGCTAAAGCAGAACCAGTGCTATGAGAACCTCGGCTTCAGGGGCGCCGCCCTCTCCTGGCTGTCACCACATAGCCGGCTGGCACCCTTGCCGCCGCCCAGGGCGGCGGGCCAGCCTCGGGCAGTGTGGCTCCCTCCCCCAGAAGAGAGCTGAAGCCGAAAACACGGCAGCGGCAGCCGCAGCAGCAACAGACCTGAGCAAACTCCTGGTGCCTCCTGGCCCCTCAGGTGAGCCCCCGCCAGAGGGCACTGCCATCAGGGGGCACCGTAGAGCCCAGAGGGCCCGGGTCAAGTCTGTTTTCCCGGTGAGCCCAGCAAGGCTCAGAGGCATCCCGCAAGTTAGCGCAGGGATGGGGTGGGCATGGAGAGGCGGGAGGAGCAGAGACCCCGGGATGGGGGGGTGCGCCGGGCTGGGAGCGGGGCAGGGGGAGTTTCCTGAGCTAGCTCTCACATGGACCCTGGTTCTCTCTCTCGCCCCAGCATCAGTGATTCACGCCAGCCTGGAGAAGGCTTGAGCTCGGCTCGATGACTCACCCTTGGCAGGCGGAAGGTCCCACAGGGCCTGAGTCTTCAAACCCGGCTGAGGCGGCAGCCGGTGTCCTCGGAGCCAGGAGAATGACAACAGGTAACAGAGCCCCATCCCTCCCAGACGAGACCCCGTCCCTCAGCTGTTCTCCCCAGGCCCCGCCCCCAGGCCTCTGGGCAAGCTGAGAGGCAGCCCACCAGGATCCCCGGGGCTTCCCCTCTGGGAGAGCAGCCCCATTATCCCCCCCACCAAGTCCTTCCTGTGGAGACCCCCCAGCCTCCTGCCCTGTCCCTGACGGTCCGTGTCGTCCTTTCTTTCAGGTCTCAAGGCTCCCGCCAAGCCTTTGCTGCTGTGCCTGGCACCACCCCCTCCCGTCTCCTCCGCAAGCTGCCTGCACAGGAGGAGAAGTACAGGCCCGTGAGGGAGGGGGGCTGCAGAGAGAAGGGGACCCTGACAGAGCTGCCGGTGAAGATGGGCCAGTGTGAGGGCCAGGGCCTGCCACTTTGCCTGCCCCGCTGGCCACCAGCCTGTCCACCCCTAGGGCCACTGTGGCTGGAGCCACCTTGTCTTGCTCCAGCCTGAGAACCCCCGCCTACCACGTGGCCATCCTCTACTGCCAGAGCTTTCTGCGAGCCTGGGGCTGAGGCCACAGCCCCTGCCTCTGCCCCGAGGCCCCAGGCCCAGCCCCAGGAGATCCAGAAGCTTTTGCTCCTGGGGCTCACGTGGGCTCTCTGCCAGCCCTGCCGTTGCCCAGGCCCGGACCCCCGCCTCCCCCAGCACCAACACCCCGGTGCTGGCCAGCCGCTCATGTCTGCAGCCCAAGCAGGCCCTGGTTGGGGGTTCCTCTTCTGCCAGTCCACTAGAGATTCGGGTCACTAACGATGTCTGCAGGTGACTGCTGGCCCCCCATCTCTGCCAGGCCCCCCAGATTTTATTATTGCACATAAGCCATAAGCCACACTCACAGGCTGGCACAGGCTGCAGGGAGGTCCTAGGGTCCTCAATTGGATTTGGCCAGTCGCCCCACCCCCAAGCCATGAAGGTCAGGCCAGGCTGTGTACACCCCTGCCACCATACCTGAAGACAGACTTTTTTGTAATATTTTGTTAATAAAACACTGAAACTTCCTGGAGCGTGTGTGCTGTTTCTCTGCTGGCTTGGGCTGGCTGGAGTGGAGATGCAGGGGGAGGCAGCCCAGCGCGGAGGGCTTGGGACCCCCGGGAGTACAGCCTGAGGGGTTCCCGGGAATCTGGGAGAGCACAGCCCTGTCACCCCACAGGGCAGCAGGTCAGGGTCCTGGAGGCTCAGGGTGGAAGGGCCTTAGGGGCTCCCCTCATGGAAGCCAGCCCCCAGCAGCCCCCAAGCCTGAGGCAGCCTGTGGGGGACTGACTGAGGGGCCCTTGTTCACATTGAGCTGAGGACTGCCCCTGTAAATGCTCCCACCGCTGCCTGCGGGGTGGGGGTCCTGGGAGCTCTTCCGCTACCAGGGCTCAGCCACAGAGAGGCCTGTGTGGCCAGGGGCCCCCGGCAAGGTATCTCTGACCCTCAGTTTCCTCATCTGCAAGCAGGCAAACCATGCACAGCGGGGCTCAAGAACTTAGAAATGGGGGCCATCCAATGTCTCATGTCCTGTGGGTAGTCTCTCCTGTTCTCGGGGGGGATCCCAGGTCCCCGGGGGGGAGGGAGAGAAGGCCTAAAGGGGGCTCGGACTCCTGTACCAGCCAGTGTTTACTGAGAAGCAGCACAGGTGGGAGATGGACAGTGAGGGTCGTCCCAGGAAGTCAGGTCACTGGCTGTGCGGCGCGCGGGCGGGGATGGTCCAGGCCTCCAGGGCGGGCGGGAAGGCTCGGCCCAGGCTGAGCTGCTGTCTGCAGCGGGGTTTCCTCCCAGGTGAAGGCTCGGCTCTGCTCTTAAGGCCTTTCAACGGATTGAACCAGGCCCCCAGATTCTCTCAGAGGGTCTTCCTCACTTAGAGTCAACTGATTATGAGATTCAGTCACATGTACAGAGGCTTTCTGAGCAACGCTGAGTGGGGTTTGGATGGAATGCCTGGGAACAGCGCCCAAGCCAGGCTGACACGTTACACTGAACTTCACAACCGCCACGGTCATTGGCAGGTGATTGTCACCTACCCAGCGCAGGTCCTGCCCCTCAGAAGGTTCTGGCGCTGGGCTGGGGGCAAGGGCGGCCGTGGATGGAGCCAGCCCAGCCAGGCTTGGTAGGGCTGCCTGGTGAGAGCCGCCACTGGGACAGGAAAGACCTGGGGAGGCAGGAAGGGAGCCCAGCAGGCAAAAGACCTCCTGCCACCAGGAAATGCTGTCACCGTCCACACGAGGGCGGGGCCCGGGGAGGGCTCCCTGAGGAAGGGGCTGTCTCCCCCCAGTCTTCCTTTTTATTTCTTTTAAATAACGAAAGTGCTGACAAGAACGGGGAGAGGAAGTTGACAGGCACAGGAGGCTGGGCACCATGGTAATGCCTGAGAGGCAGTAATTTCTCCCGGAGACATCCTACTGCTGACATCAAAGCCGGAAGCGGTGGATGTTTTTTCCTTTTAATAAAAAGTTACTCCCTGTAGTTGGATGATTGTGGAACAGGCTGTCGGAACACCTTGGCAATTTGAGATGCAGCGCTGCCTTTGTGCCGCAAGAAAGGAGGCTGCAGGGCAGAGCGTGGTGGTGTGGCCTGGGGTGGAGGGGCCGGACCCTCCCGCAGACATCATGAATCCCGCAGCCCAAGCCTCAGGGTGCTCCTGATACGGGCCTCTCTCCTCCTCTCCCCGTCCTGCCCAACCAGACGTCACAGGCCACCCGGTCTTATCTTCTCACTCGCTGGCAGGGAAACTGAGGCACAGAGAGGGGCTAGGCTTGCCTCATGCTGGGGAACAGGGCTGGGACTGGCAGCGGGGGCTGCCAGGTAGCCCTGACGGCTTACCTTGTAGACCCAGGTTGGTGGGGGCGTCTGCGCCAGGTGGGCGTGGGCACAAGTCCCAGGGCCGCCTTTTCTGTAAGTCCCTCAGTATGTTCCTCACTGTTGCCCCCAGGCTCAGCCGAGACATGTCTCGTGTGTCCCATTCGTGTGGCTGCCAAGTGCCAGCCAGTACCGCCTGTGGTTAAGAACGGCAGCATGCCAAATAGGCTGCACAGAAACAGGCCCAGGAGAGTGCGTCCGTCCGTGCGAGGCCAGGCTACTGTAACAAAGAGGCCCAGGCAACAAAATCACTTATTTTCTGTCACATGAGCATGTGGCCAGTGGCTGGGCTCCACCTGTTTGTTCAGGACCCTCCAAGTGCTCTGTCACCCCCCGGCCACCATCTGTCTCCCGGCTGAAGCCAGGGCTTGGCTGCTGCTGGGCGGCTGCCCGCAGGCAGGGTGAAGAGACAGGAAGGGCCAGCCCAGGAGAGTGGCCGTCACTGCCACTGACCCCCACAGCAGGGAGCGCAGTCACACGTCCACACCGAACTGCAGAGGGCCTGCAGCGCCGGAGGGAGAGGGGACTTCGGTGGACAGCCAGAGGACAGAAGCCACACTGAAAATTTTTGGGGGTGACATGAACTTCACTTTGCCCAAGGAGGTTCTGCTGATCAAGGGGACCAGAGACTGAGGTCAGCCACGGGGGCGACCAACCAGGTCTACGCCACGGAGGCCCGATAAAGACACTGGACACAGGCTGGGGGCTTCCCTGGTTGGCCACACTCCGTGCATGCTGTCACATCGCTGCCAGGGGAGCTAAGGCCACCTAGGAGTCCACAGGGAGAGGACCATCGGGAGCTCCTTGTCTGCACCCCGCCAGGTCCCGCCCTGTGCGCCTCTCCTGAGGTTGGACCCCCGGACTCTGCAGCTGGAGTCAGAAGTGAGGGTGGTCGTGTGGATTGTTCCCAGGTGACGTAACTCCACAGGTGACACGATTCTTTCTGGTCTGTAAGCGACTTTTAACTCCAAGAGGACTTGAGATTAGCACAGAGATTTAAAAGAGAACTAAACCCCAAATGTTATTTTGTCAACAATTTGTATATGCTTCAGATTTTGAGTATTTTAACATTGAAGAGAATTTGGCTGCAACTTTCCAACACCGCTGTCAACTGGGCGCCTGGGCCGAGGCGTGGACTTCGGGTTTTAGGCAGAAACCATATGCAAGTTTATAACAGTACCGGAACGTTAGAAAGAGCTTAAGGATCACTGTGTTTTGTAGCTTAATTTAATAAGTTTATAATCATTTTTTAAGTATTTAGAAAAGTCAAAGTGTGGATTTAATTTAGACTATTAATTTTATAGACATAGCTTAAAAAGGTTTGAAGACCTGTATGGGACAACACGTTCCTCATCCTTCGAAACGATGGTGAAAGTACAAGATCGTGAGCGTTACTTAGAATCTTGAGGAAAAGCATAGTTTGGGGGTTTGTCATTTTGACGGCACTAATTTAAACACCTGAAGTGGCTTCTAAGCAGACGGTCCTCACCACCCTGAGGACGCGGGCAGTCTCCTGCCAAGGAGGCAGAGGTGGCCGGGCGTGCCTAGGCTCGCTGTCCCTATGCTCGGGCTCCCGGACGGTCTGCCTCTGTGGCTGAGCTACCCCGTGGGCGAGTCCCTGAGCCGCTGCCTGCCCTCTCTGTCCTGCCGGCTTCGCCTGCCCCCTGCCTCCTGCCCCTGCCCCCTGCCCTCTGCTCCCTGCCCCAGGACCCCTGCCCTATGACCCCTTCCCCTGCCCCTGCCCCGAGGCCCCGGCTCTGTGGCTCGTTCTCCCCTCTTCTGCTCACCACAGCGGCTCTTTATCCGGTTCCCCTTTGCTCTGTCTTTCCATTTTGCCTGTTTGGGGCCAGCTTTCGGTCTGTGTGGCTACAGGTCCACCCCTCCGCTCTCTCTCTTCTGTCCCTGCGTCTCTCTGACCCTGTCCCTCTCTCTCTCTCCATCTCATCCCCCACTTGGACCCCGTCTCTCTGCCTCTCTCTGTCTGTCTGTTTCTCCGTGTGTGTCTCTCGGCCTCCATCCCTCTGTCTCTTTCCTCCTACCCCTCTCCCTGCAGAGCCGGGGAAGGGCCTCGGGTCAGAGTAGGTGAGACTCCTGCAGGTGTTGGCCAAGGGAGTGGGGAGGGCGGATATGCAGCAGTAAGGGGAGAAGGAAGGACAGAGGAGAGCAGTGGTGGGCACCGAGCTGGGAGGGCGCCTCCCTTCCCGCCCTGGGCCCAGAGGGCCGTCAGGAGGCGTCGGAGGGCCGGGCTCTGCTCAGTGTGGCTGCTCCCCACCCCAGCCCTGCTCCCCTGGCCTTCCTCACGGCACAAGCAGTCGGTGGGGTCAGGGGACAGGCCCTGCCCCCCTGCTGCAGAGTACAGACCGTGCTCCCAGAATCTGCTCCAATGGTCCAGCGCCCGCTCCCAGCGTCCCTCCCCCGAGGACACCCTGAGTCCTGGGGCGCACGGCTCTCCGGAGCGCTGGCTTTTGGGGGAGGGGTGAGTGGAGCAGGTGTCCACAGTCACCTGGTAGAGGTCCTTACAGTGAGACGGGCCAGGGAAGGACCTGGAGGAGGCACGGGCAGACTGTGGCCGCACAGTTCAAAAGGCCCACTTGCCTGGGGGGACGAATCCAGGTCCTAGGTGTGAGGTGTGCTCCCAGCTGACCCCGATCCCGCCCCCGCCCGCCTTCTGCCTCGGTGGGCCCCACGCCCAGCCTGTCTGGGGCTCTGATTCCTAAGACAGGAGGCAGGGACACCAAACGCACAAGCCGAGGGCCACTCCCCACCGTGAGTCCCCAGGGGCCCCAAGTGTGCCAGCCAGGACGCGGGGGCAGGTCTGGCCAGGACATCAGTGCTCGGCTTTCTCTCCTGGGTGGGCTTCCTTTCTGCCTTCTCTGGTGATAAAAAGGTGGCTTCCCCTCCCTCCAGGAAGTCACCCTCCTCCAGGCCAGGCATTTACAGCCACTGCAAAAGCAGGACTACACCGCCACCTCCCCCAACAGAGGGAGCCAGGATGAGCTTCCCACCACCACCCGCCATGACGGCCCCATATGACGGCCCCCTATGATGGTCCCCCATGACAGTGCCCTATGACGGCTCCCCGTGACAGCCCCCCATGATGGCCCCCTATGACAGCACCCCATGATGGCCCCTTATGACAGACCCCTACGACGGACCCCTA